CAATGAAGGATGATAACAGCGAAGCGGTGGAGTAGCGACAATGGCAGCAAGCTGGAAGGGGTAACGAATGGTTGGACAATTGGAACATCAGAAAACAACAAGAAATGGTTGCTTCCTGGCGGTTGTAGTGAGGGGGAATGTCGGCAACAGCGACGGAGAATGTGGGAGTCTGCAGAACAGTAAGAGGACGGTTGTCCGGGGTGGTTGCAATGAGGACAAAAATTGAGAAATTGCAGAAAATACAATAATACGTGGTTGTTTGGGGGAGGCTGCAGTAACGGAGGGCGCTCGAGATAGGGAAGATAATTTTCATCTGGAAGTCAAGATACAACTGAAGCACAACTTGGAATCCTATGATACATCACTCGAAGGGAATAAGAGACACCGGTGGCTTTCCCAATATAAAACATACAAAAAAAACCTATTAAACCCTCATATAACACATATATAGGACTAGAAACGAATAAAAGGACAAGAGAAAACTTGTTAACATTGAAAAGGAAACAAAAAATTGGCCCAATTGTTGGGTAATGTTGAGACCCGGTTCACTGCAATTTAATTGACTTCCTAATTAAGAATCTCACGTACCGCTCACCTATCTTATCACCTACCGCTCACTTACCACATCTCACCTACCACTCACCTACATCCCACCTGCCGCTCTCCTAATCTCTATAAATAGCCTCTTGTAACTTGTCATGAACAAGTCAAACAAGCCAACCTAGGTCAAGCCATGTTCTCTATGAGAGAAAGAGATGAAGAGAAAGAGAGAGGAAGGGAGAGAAGAAAATAGAGATTTTCTTGTAAACGTCGAGGTGTTCAACGATGTATTTCCTCGAAGAAATAAAATCTTCTGCAGCTCCGTGGACGTATGCAAATTTGTCGAATCACGTAAATCTATGTCGCTCTGGTATTTTTTTCTGCGTGCAATTTTACTCTGATTGCAATTTTCTCTCGTTACATTTTTCGTTTTATTGTTGTCGTTTTTCACAACAATTGATATCAAAGTTGTTGTTTCGAATCTAAGAAAGAACAATGGGCGGAGACAAATCGATGATATCGGGGATCAAGAAGTTCAATGACACAAATTTTGCTTACTGAAGGATGCAGATAGATGACTATCTCTATGAGAAGAAACTTAATCTTCCGTTACTGGGAAAACGACCGGAAAAGATGGACGAGACAGAAAGGAATTTGTTGAATCGATAAGTTCTGGGGGTTATTCGTTTAACCCTGTCAATATTGGTTGCCTACAACGTCATCAAGGAGAGGACTATTACAGTTCTCATGGCGGCTTTATCAGATATGTATGACAAATTATCAGCAAATAACAATGTGTATTTGATGAAAAAATTAACTTGAATATGGCGGAAGATGTCTCTGTTGCTCAACACCCGAATTATTTTAATACTATCACAAATCAATTGTCGTCTGTTGAAATTGATTTTGATGATGAGATACGTGCATTGATATTGTTGGCTTCATTGTCAAATCAAATAACTTGAAAGCCATAAGGATAGCAGTTAGCAGTTCTACAGGTAAATTTTCATAAGGATAGCAGTTAGCAGTTCTACAGGTAAATTTAAGCTAGGCCAAGCCAAGTCCTCTAAGAGAGAAAGAGAGGAAGAGAGAGAGAGAGGAAGAGAGGAAAATAAAAATTAGAAAATACAGGTTTTCTTATAAACATCGAGGCGCTCGACGATGTAATTCCTCGAATACAGATTTTCTTATAAGCATCGAGGCGCTTGACGATGTAATTCCTCGAAGAAATAAAATCCTCTGCAGCTCCGAGGACGTAGGCAAATTTGTCGAATCACGTAAACCTTTGTCGCTATAGTGTTTTTTTCTGCGTGTAATTTTTTCTCGTTTCATTTTTCATTTTATTGGTCCGCTCTCCTCGATCTTCACGCTACTTTGGGAGCCGCAGCTCTCTCCTGCATTCCGCTCGTAAGCAGTAGACGCTCCGGCATCATGTAATAGTGTTGTTATTGTCGTGATATTAAAGATTTGAGTGCTATGTTTGTGAATATGAAAGTTCAGTTGTGAGATATGTAAGTGCCTCTTTTTTAAATAAAGTGCCTTTGACTTTTTTGTTTCTAGAATTCCCTCCATATCCATGCATAATTTGTGCTGCTATAGAATGTTACATGGGAAACAATGCTTAGCAGGATGAAACACTTTTTTTTTACCATAAAATTCCCTCTATTTCAAAATGGAATAGTTAATTACCAATATTATGATAAAGTGAACGGATTAGATTGTTACTTGTGGTTGCATGACAATATTTTTTAATAGCATATGTAATCTACACTGCTATTTTGGCACATTTGCTTACCAAAATATCTAAACAAACAACTTCTAATTTTTTGTTTTTTCTATCTATTTTAGGAATATTAAATTTCTTTCAGGCTACTATGCAAACAGTATTTAAAAATGAATTAACACTTCCATGTAGCAATCATTAAATAACATAATTCAACCTATATATAATTCTGTGGTTCATTTTCATGCAAGGACATAATATTTTTTGGATAAAATAATATTGAAGTAGTGCAGCATAACTAATTCAATATCATTTTATTGAATGTAACCATGATCATAAAAAAATTATTTTCTATTATTAGCTATTGTAAACATATTTCATAATTGTGTATTTGTTTAATTGTAGTTCACTCATATAAAACTCGAACTTCCAGCAATCAGTATCAACTAATCTTAATCTGCATGCATGTTGAATTTGAAATAACACCATACAAAGTTTCAAGAAATAACACCATGCAAACAATTCATTTAGCAGCCATCATTGGAAATGTTAATCGACATAATGGGATTTTCTTTTGTCCCCGAAAATAAAATTGCACCTTTGCTTCCTGCTTGTACTTTCTTCTTTTGTTTGGTTTTGATTTTTTTTTCGGAACTACTCGTCCTATTTTAATTTTTGTGAAATTTACATATCTAACACCCAAAATTTGATATTTACCCTTGTAATGCCTTGGTGTCATAAACATGTACATGAAAATGTGTATTTTATTTATAAAAGGTGGCGATGGTGGTATATTTGATGTGATATTAAAGATTTGAGTGGCATGCATGTAACTCTGAATGTTTAGTTGTTCGATATGTAAATACATAAGAATTGTGTGGTATTCATGTAAATGCCGTTAACTTTTTTTTCCTTACGATCAGCATTATCAGTGAATACGACATTATCTGGGCCATTACTTAGCAGATTTGACATAGTTCTTGTCCTTCTGGATAAAAAGAATCCTGAATGGGATGCAGTTGTTTCTAATCATATTCTAGCTGAGGTATCTCTCTTCTACGCCATAGTTAAGTTAGCTTATTAGTAATTTATCTATATTGAGATGTACATTTTTAACCTTCATTAGATCATACATGTATCTTTGGCTAACTGTCTCTAGTTGAATATTTTAAAACTAAACAGAAAGGAGAAGAAAATTGTAGAAGAGATTATTCTGAAGACTTGGGTAGTGTCTGGTCCCTTCCAATGCTTAGGAGGTAAATTCTAATATATTTTTTCCTTGTTTGTAGCATTCAATAAAGCATCTTAGTGTTTTTTGTTTTCTTTTTTCTTAATTTTGCAAGGCATCATAATTATTTTCTTACTGAACTAAAAGCACTTCAATAAAATGGTATTGCACTTTTATTTCATACAGTCCATCAGCAACACAACTAAACAACGTTGCCAAATAAACCGTTTATCTACTAAATAGCTTTCAAGTAATTTTACCTTTTATTGGATTAGTTTTTAATCACTGGAATATTTCATCTTGCTGCTTTATTGTAGTCCATCGCTTGTTAATTTCTGTTCATCATTTGGCATTTGAGATCATGCTATCTAAATTCGGCACTTGCAAAATACATTGAAGCTGATACCTAAAGCAGAATAACCCAAAATATTAGAATTAGGAAGCTTTCTTAAACGACTGTGTTTTGTAGGTATATCCACTATGTTAAGCAGCGTTTCAAACCCGTCCTGACGAAGGATTCAGAAAGAATAATTTCCAGTTACTATCAGCTCCAGCGAAGATCAGCAACCCATAATGCAGGTCAGAAGTGGCAGTACTTGTGTTGGGATCAATTTTTTCTTTCTTTAGATTTAGCCAAGTTATTAGGGAATTCCTTTGCAGTTTCCCTTATTACTTTGTGGAAGATTTACATACATACCACTCAACACCTATGTATTCACATATCTAATGCCTAAAAGTTACCTTTTTACAATTATACCGCCCAAATCTTTCATATCACATAAAAAAAGGTCACTATTTTAACTTTAAAAAAAAATGAAATACATCTAGGTCACTATTTTAACTTAAAAAAAAATGAAATACATCTTTTCAAGCATCGGTAGTGTGGCGTATATGTAAGAATAGAAGTTTAGATGTTAGATATGTGAATACATTGGAATTAAGTATTATGTTTGTAAATCTTTCTTTTTTTTGTGCAGCTAGAACTACTGTCCGCATGCTTGAGAGCTTAATACGGTTGGCCCAAGGTTTGTTTCATTAAGTTTAAGCAACATTGTTTAATCCTCGGTATGTTCCGATTAAATTTTGGAGGAGATGGATTTCAAAATTACTGGATTTGCTTTGATACGGGTGTAATATAAAAATTTTATTGATTTCCCATATATTCCTCTCGTCTCAAAACAGATTTAACGGTTATGAGATTCGTCCTCCCGAAATAATGATGATGATATTTTGATACAATTTTTTTTCGATGCGTTCTTATACTGATTTGACTCGACTTCACTGTAGCACATGCACGGCTTATGTTCCGAAACGTGGTTACCCAACTCGATGCTATTGCCGCCATCCTCTGCATAGAATCATCGATGACAACATCAGCAATCGTTGATAGTGTTGGAAATGCTCTGCATTCAAATTTCACTGAGTTTCCAGATCAAGAATGTATCCTTTTTGGCTAAAATAAAGGGCATTTACATACATACCGTCCATTTTCTATATTTAGGTGTATTTTACTTGTTACATTTATATTATACTAATCTTTCATATCTCATAAAAAACGTCACTGTTTAAACTTTCAGAACGTGAAATGCGCCTTTGCATGCAAAGGCAAGGTGGCGTTTATGAAAAAAATTAAGTTTAGTTGTTAGATGTGTAAATACATGAGAATTGAGTGATATGTATGTAAATCTTCTAATAAATAAATAGTTCATATGTAACAAAGCATGTTTTGTAGAAATAAGGATTCAATTTCTCATGTTGATTACATATGATCAGATAGATGATCTGTCATACCAACTACCACGAGTTCTTTGTGGCAATTTTTTCATGATTTTGCTTCTCATATGTAACAAAGCATGTTTTCAAAAGATAATTGCCAAAATGGTAGTTGATCATTTTAGTCCCCGGGTTTATAAAGATGTCACACATGAGTTGAAATAATCCCAATGAAAAACTATTTTAGCATTTAAACCCTTTACTTTTTACACGTGAGTTGAAATAATCCCAATGAAAAACTATTTTAGCCCCAATTAAATGCGTTTCAGTTTTCAAAAAATAATTTTTTTCTACAACTTCGTTCCGGTTATTTTTACAATAATTATGGAGTTGTGCTTTCCAAAAACGGACCTTAAATGCAAAAAGGATCTAAACATGCTTCTTTATTCATAATTTGTTTCATCATTGTAAGTTCTTAACATGCTTTTCAGATGCAAAACAGGGCAAAATAATTCTTGAGAAGTTAGGAGCAATCAGTGACTAGTGTTGTCTAACAACATATGAGCTTCTTTGTTTTTCTTTTTTCTTTTTTTAATGAGATTATGTTTTATTTTCTGTTTTCTTGTAATGTAGAGCACTTCGTTGCTGGACTGTAGGAAATTGATTCCATTATGGTTATTGTAAGAGAGGATCATCACAAGCCTTCCCTTGGATGTGTTTTCTTTGTACCATGGGCTTGTTTGAAGGAGCCTCGCTGTTCTGCAAAGCTCCTTTAAATGTCATGTCCGTGGAACTGAGATTTTCCATTTGTGATCTAAAACGGTGAAAATTTATTGTTCTGTTGAAACAATTACAAGAGATGTTGCTTTACCAAATGAAACCAAATCCATGCGTTGGCTTTCACTGTAGCGAAGCAGAATTTTACTGCCTTCTCAAATAAGGCCTATACCTTTGTCAGTCATACTGTTTTACACTCTCGATAACGTAGTAAGTGTGTGTATATATATATTATTTTATTTGTGCATGAAATTGGTGTATTTAAATTTTTAAAAGTTAAATTAATAGTATTTTTGTTGTGATATGAAAGATTCGGCTTGTATATGTGCAAGAAGTTCAATTTGGGTTTTAGATGTGTAAATATATAGGAATTGAGTGGTATGCATGTAAATTGCTCTAAAATAGAAGTTCTCGAAACTATTGTCATAATCCATGACAAATGAGTTTGCTAAATATTTACATTTAAAAAGGAGATTTAATTGCATATTGTAAAGATTTTCTTTGAAAAAATTTTGGCTTTGCCTGATTAACAAACTCCTGTTTGCACACCAATTGCTCGTTGTTTTGTTTCAACTAGTCCATCACACGCTTGATTAACAAGAATCACATGTTATGCATTAGACCCTCAAATGCTAATGTGACATATTTTAACCCTGTTATGTTTAATTTGGCATATCTGAGGAATAATTATTTTTATTTTTGGACATTTACAGACATTCCACACAATTTTTATATATTTACACATCTAAACTTGAACTTTTTGGCATAACAAAACATTCACTATAAATAACTTCTTAAGAGTGCAATACATCTTCCATACATTGGATTTTAAATCCAAGGTGCTCTGAATTTAAATATCAAACTTGAGGTGTTATATATGTAAATGCATAAGGCTTGTGTGGTAAATACATTTCTTTTCTATTTTTTAGTTATTATGCAAATATAATTTTTTTGTTTGTCCTAATTTGTTCACTTTTTATGTAATTTTGAAACAACAATATTTGAGTGAGGTCGATTGATTTCACAAATCCAAAATCTCTCTATTTATATAGAGAGAGAGAGAAGAGAGTTTTTTCATGCATGCAAAAAACATTGACAACGAATTTTCAAGCACACAACCCCTATCATCTTCTTTTCTTCATGGCAGTCGAGTCACCATCACTTTCTAATATTTTCTACTACTATAACTAAAATCTTGAACCTCTTACGTAATATAGTTTTAGAAATTTTGTAGCATACATTAGCATAGTAGACTTATTTCAGTTGGGCTAGACCTTATGGTTTTTTTTCTCTTAAAATTTCAATGTAAATATATATTATTTTCGTTCTCAATTTCTATTTACTCGTGTATATTAGATTTTCTTACAACACTAAGACATTAATATATCGCTTTATCACATGAATTTACAAGCAAACAAGAAATATATAAATAGAAACTATGAAATGACGCTTTTGTAATTGGTTCAAATACTTTGAATGCCATTTTTTTTTTCCCCCATTGATCTTGGAATGGAATATGGCTTATTAGTATATAAGAATTTAAAAAGAAGTTTCTGTATAAATTTAGATTTTTGATGCAGAATGGCATATGAAATGTTGAAGATAAGAGTACAGGTGTTCAAACCAGAACCAGAAGCCACCTCCGTTTCTAATGGCTCATGCTCTTGTTGCTTCTTCCACCTTCTCCTTCCTCCTCAGTCTCTCTCTCTCTCTCTCTACTGTTCTGTTGCTCTTCATAATGGATTAAGCTGATTCTGTTCGGTTTTTGGATGCAGATGCTTCGGCTGCCAAGTTCCAAAGGACTCAAGCCTCTGCTCGTTTGCTTCCGCGTTCTGGAGTCTCCCAGATCTCCTCTTCCTTCAAGAGCGGCTCCTCTCTCGGTAACTACTTGTCCTTTCTCTGAATTACAACCCAGAAGCTAACCCTCACTCGAAGATTTCATCATCAGCTGAGAAGTTCTGCAATGGGGCTTTACGGATATTTGAACCAAGTATTTCTTTAATGCTTCCTCCTTTGATTCTGTAGATTTTAGGTCATCTCCGATGAGAAAATTTGAATGCCGATCGGTGTGGGTTCCGATCAGGTGTGAGCAGGGTGCAAAGGAGAGTGGGGGATTGGATGTGTGGCTCGGTCGCCTTGCAATGGTTGGGTTTGCCACCGTAATCACTGTTGAGATTGTGACAGGGAAGGGGCTTCTGGAGGTATGAATTTTCCAAACTATTCTCTTTTTTGGATTTAAATTGGCAAATGCAGTACATGAGATGTTATTCCAAAGTATGAAACAAATTTACGTTTTATCACTAGTTTCTTTTTTTTTTTTAAATGCAGTTGTTCATAATTTTTATTATTTTTATAAGTGAACTTCAAGATCTTGAGATTTTGGATATTCATGAAGAATTTAATACTATATGGGATAAAGTAACAAGGACTATTAAGCAAGTTGCAAAAGATGTACCTAAAGAATCAAAAGGAAAAAACTCATATAAATAAAATTAGTTAGGGGTGAACTAATAACTTGTAAGAGAACATAAAATATAAGAAATTTTTTATAAAAATTGGTTTAAATTTAAAAGCTTAAAAAATTGAGAAAAATATAAGGTGGCCCATAAGGAGTCTAAAAGAACTATTTGTGGTTATCTTTATATTATATTAAATATTAAAGAAGGTGAAATATAAACTAGTCATATAAAGAGATAAGAAAAGTAAATATTTAGTTCAAGCAAAGTGTATTAAGGATGAAAATCAAAAAATAATTTTTTTTTTTATGAGGCTGTTCAACATGAATTATGTATTTGATAAAATTTTTAATGAAGATTTTGAAAACACAACCGGCTTTAATGATTTTAATATCGTTAATAATAAAAAAAATATTTTATTTTTACAGTCGTATCAGTAAATCGGAAGATTAAGTAGTTTTAAAGAAAATGAATGATGAAAAATCAGTATGATTTAATAATATCCTAATAAAAGTGTGGAAATGTTTAGGAGATTTAGAATTTCTAAACTTGCTAAATTTTTAAATAATGTTTTAAAAATTAAAATGATGTATGAGAAGTGGAGGAAGAGTTTTTTAGTCCCTATTTTTAAGAATAAAAGAGGTGCACAAGAGTTTGCAAATTATAGAAGAATTAAGTTAATGTGACATCAATTAAAGTTATAAGAGAAAATAATTGAACATAGGTTAAGACGTGATACAAAGATTTCTCAAAATTAATTTAGATTTTTGAGGCAAGTCTACTATGGAGCTATACAGTTATTGAGAGGTTTGATATAGAATTACAAAGAGAGTAAGAAGGATTTATATATGATTTTTGTTGATTTAGAAAGAGCTTTTGATAAGGTTTCAAGAGAACTTCTTTGGAGAGTTTTAGAAAAGAAAGGTGTTGATATGAATTATATACTAGAGTTGTTACTTGTGTTCGAACAGAAGGAAGATTCACCAATTATTTTCTATTTCAGTCGGATTACATCAAGGATCTGCTTTAAGCCCATATCTTTTTGCTTTAGCTATGGATGTTATTATCAGGCATTTACAGGAGAATATACCTTGGTGTCTGATTTTTGCTAATGATATCGTTTTTGTGAATAATACTAGAGAAAGAGTTCGGGAAAAATTTGAATTATGAAGGACAACTTTAGAGTCTAAAGATTTTTGTTTGAGTAGATCTAAAACTAAATACATGAAATATAATTTTAGCAGTACTAGATTTAGTGGCGGGGTTATAATAATGGGTGATCAAGTCATTAAAAGAATTGAAAGTTTTAGATATCTCGGATCTATTGTTCAAAGCGATGGTAATATAGGTGGGGATGCTATTAGTAGAATTTAAGTTGGATGGTTGAAGTGAAGGAATGCATCAAGCCTCTTATTTGATAAAAAAGTACCGCTTAGAATTAAAAAAAAAATAAATTAAGTTGTGGTGAGATCTACAATGCTTTATGGCACAAAATGTTGGTCTATAAAAGATAAGCATAAAACTAAGTCAAGTGTTGTTGAGATGAGAATGCTTAGGTGGATGAGTGGCTTTACACTTCAAGAAAATGCGAAACAAGTATATCTATGAAAGGTTGGGTGTAGCTCCAATGGTAGACAAGATTAGAGAGAATTGTTTTAAATTGTTTGGTCATATTATACGTCAATTGTGTGATGATCTATTTGGGAAAGTAAATGTTTTAGATTTGACATATGTTAAGAAAGGTAGAGGTAGACCTTAAAAGCCTTGGACAAGTTGTATAAAAAATGATCTTAATTTATTATAATTAAATTAAAATGCGACATTCAATAAGGCACAATGAAGAAACATGATTTATTTAGCCAACCCCACTTATTGGGATAAAGGCTTTTTGCTGCTATTGTTGTTGTTCGTAATTTCTATTATATTTCATTGTTTCAAACTTATTTGTGTCAATTTGTTATCAACTTATTATCTATTTAACATCCTTTTTTTTATTTGGTAAAACTAGTTATGTTGTATTTAGTGTTATCTTCTTTATATATATATATACACGCACGTGTGTGCACACACAAAATAATTTTTTTGAACTACCGAATCGATGCATTTACATTTTTCATGATCAAACTATTGAGAATTTAGATAGATATATAGTCACAAAATAATTTTTTTGAACTACTGAATTGATGCATTTACGATTGTTGTGATCAAACTGTTGAGAATTTTATAAGAATGAAAAATATGAGTTGGAATTTTATCATGAATTTTGATATTTGAGTGAAATTTTGAAAAATGAATGAAAGTGAGTGCTAGATTTGTATGTAATTGCCCCAAAAAATATATATACATGGAAGTAATTTAGGAAACCAACCCATTATCTCTAGATTTATTTGTATAAACATTGATTCATGACATACTAATTTCCCACTGATTCCAAAAGTCCCCACCTTAATTCCAAATCAAGAAGGGTATGCCATGGACCACCTTCCACACCACGCCTCTACTATCTTATCAAACTGGCATCCATAATTCTCTTCTATTTTCACCATTCAGTTATAAGCATATAATTTGAAATTTTTAATATGCTATTATTATTTTGTGTAGATTAATAACTTACAAATCGAATATTTCTAAACCAACTTAGTGTTTTCGATCCTCATTAATCTCTTTGTATTGATTATCATATCCACTAAATTTGCATGCATGTATTAGACTTTAACGCAACTAATTTAGCCATTATGTTTTTTTTTTTACTTCCTTTCTACCATTTTTCTGTTTTTGGATTGATTGTTATTTCCCATCTCTTTCGGTCATTACCAGTTCTTCATTCCCACCAAAGCTGAACCCATATATTTTGGAAGATTTACATACATATCCTCAATTCGTATGTATTTACTTACCTATTTCCTAAGCTTCAATTTTTACATACATGCCACCTTGTCTATACATGAGAAGGTGTATTTCACATTGTTAAAGTTAAAAGATGGTATTTTTTTGTGATATGAAAGATTTGGGTGGTATAAATGTAGAAAGTATTATTTAGGGGTGATATGTATGTAAATGCCCCCTTATTTTCTTTCAGGTATTTATTCTGATTTCAGTTCATATCTTAGTCATTTTATTATATAGATCATATCCAGTTTAAAAAGTTAGTAGCTTAAGCACCCCCTTCAAAATTTTACTTCAAATAAAATTTTCAGGCTCTCACACCTCTATTTTACTTATACCTCTTTTGAATAGTAATTGAATCAATTTATCATTTAGAACATTGATTTCCTTCAATTTTTCAACATCATGTTCAGTGTCAACAATTTTTGCTTTACATTCATGGCCATTTCTTACATGTTTTTTGCAGCACTTAACATTTCCATACACACAATCCAACTTAAAAAACATATAAGCTACACCTTATATCCACCTTGACCCCAACCAAATGAATTACCCTGTTGCTAATTGTACTTTACTTTACTTTGCAAATGGTAACTGCACCTTAAAACTCTTAATATCCACAACTCAATGGCTAGAACAAGTTTAAGGTTGGTTGCAGCCGCTTTTGGGATTTTTTTTTTTTATTTTGTGTTATATAATTGATGTGACAAATGATGAAATAAATAGAAGACAAAATAAATAGATTTTACGTGAAAACTCCAATATGTGAAAAACCATGGGCTGGGGATGAGAGATCACTATATTAAATAAGAAATTATCAGTGGAGTGTGTCAGCTAATATAACACCGAATAGAAGTGAGTTATATTTTGTACAAAGAAAAAAAAGGTATTTATAAATTGCTGCGAGATTTTTTTCAAGTAAAATGCTTAAGTGCGGACAATAAAGCAAGTGCACACGGATTGTAATCTATGAAATATAGTAAAATTGATCAAATGGTAGATTTCTTAAATGCGCTCAAAGTTTTCTTGTGAGACGGGCGGGACTCGCATAATTCAATTCACAAATTTAACAGTATGTAATGTGCATTTTTCCCAATGGTTGATAAATGGCTTGAAGAATTTTATCAAAGTGAGTAGCTGGGGAACCATTTCTGGAAGGAGGTCATATATAAAACTTAATAAAACATTGGTTGGAGTAGTTTTGCTAGATTGATTGAATTGCACCTCGTGGCTTCATTTCCTACTATGATGCGCTTCAACCACAACAATAACCGCTGCAATCACAATCATACAAGGAGTATTGTGTATAATTTGTTCCAAAAGGGATCTAAAATTTTTTTTTTTCAGGATACTGGTGAAACTTAATTCTATCGTGCCAAAACATGATAAATGTTAGGCGCATTTATGTACATACCACCGAATTCATATGTATTTACATGTCTAACACCTAAACTTTATTTTTTTACATCTATACTACCCAAATCTTTCATATCACATAAAAAAATACCACTATTTTAACTTTTAAAAAATGAAATACATCTTTTCATGCATAGATAAGGTGGCCTATAAGTAAAAAATAGAAGTTTAGGTAGATATGTTAATACATAGAAATTGAGTAGTATGCATGTAAATCTTCCTAAATGGTATCATTTCAGTTGAACATTTGGAATTCTGGCTTTTCCGGACTAGCACCTGTTCTTGGTTCTTTGCTTATCATGTCCTTAAACCCTCTTGGATGCCTGCTCCTCAATTCAGCTTCTTATAGAAAACAAGTTGAATAAACTTAGGGGGTGTTTGGTAGCACCTTGTTAATAGGATTTAGATATGGATTTATTGTAAATCCAGGATTTATTGTAAATCCAGCCAAACTCAAAAACTAGTGTAGCTGAATCCGGTCCTCCGTTAAATCTAATTTTCTCTACATTCCGTCTCATTTTCGATGTAAATCCGGATTTAGTGATTTACTAATATGACTATTGGGTGGATTTAATGGATTTAGCTATGAAGAAAACATATGAGACGGATTTATGTCAAACATATCAAACAAATTTAATTGGATTTAACCATAACTGAACCAAACACAATTCTAAATTTAACAGTTTTGGATAATGATGAATCCAAATTTACCAGATTTAGTTTACTAAATCGTATATAACGTAAATACCGGTTGCAGCCAAACTCCCCCTTAATTTACCTTTTTTTAATCCATCTTTCTCTCCCTCAATTTCCTACCTTTAGAAGCGGTTACAATAAAAGAAACCAATCTATGATCTCTAGGATTATGATATCTTTAATAATTTTGAAGTCGAAACCTATTAAGTTCTCATGAAATTCTATATTTTGTAAGTTAATCTATTTCTATAATTTCAGCAAACTCGTAATAGTTCTGGTTGGGTTTATGTATGGATAAAACTGTAAATATCTGTTTGTTTTGCAGAATTTTGGGTTTGTGACCCCACTGCCTTCGTTAGCATTGGCTGTTACAGCCCTGATTGGAATTTTAGCAGCAGTTTTTATAATTCAGTCTGCAACTCAAGATTGATCCTTCGAGTTTTTTTTTTTTTTTTTCTGTTACTTTTGATGATTGATTGTAACTTTTTTCTCTTGAAATGATGCTTAAACCACATGTAATATGTTTATGTAACATTCGTCCATGTCTTATATTTAAGGAAGATTTACTTACATACCACTTAATTCCTATTTATTTACGTATCAAACACCTAAACTTTCATTTTTATATATATGCCACCTTACATATACATCAAAAGATGTATCACTTTCTAAACGTTAACATAGTTGGTATATTTGATGTGAGATACAGATTTGGGAGTTATAAATGTAGAAATATAGTTTAGGTGTTCAATGTGTAAATACATTGGAATTAGGTGGTATGTATGTAAATGCAGAACTTTTTTTTTACGTACATACCACATAATTATTAAGTATTTACATATCTAAGAACTTTTTTTTTACGTACATACCACATAATTATTAAGTATTTACATATCTACCACTTCAACTTTAATATTTACACGCGTAACACTCGAATCCTTGGCATCATATCAAAAATATCACTTTACTATCTTTTTAAAAGTCAAATGCACCTTTTTTTTTGCATATGTTTATAATGTCAAAGTGTTATATCAAACTTTAGGTGTTGGATATGTATATCCATAAGAATTGTGTGGTGCACATGTAAATCTCCCTAGTGTGTACACACGCGCGCGCACACAGACGTCATATAGCACCATAAGAGACATTAATGGCGTCCCACTAGTGCCCTATAGCAATGGTACCCTACATTTGTAGGACCATCCTTTGACAAACATGTCCTGTAAAGACTTAAATGTCTTGGGCCTTATTTAAGACTTCTTCCATACGGTAACTTTATTAGATTTACATAAAAGTCACTTAATTTCTGTCTATTTACATATCTACTATCTTAACTTCAATTTTTATATATATGCCACCTTACCCCTGCATGAAATGTTGTATTTCACATTTTGCGTTGATTTTGTTTTTTTACGTGACATGAAGGATTTTGGTGGTATGATTGTAAGACGTAAAGCTTGGATGTTAGATATATAAATACATGAGAGTCGGGTGGTATATATGTAAATTTCCATTTTTTCATTATAATTCGGCTATTAAAAAATGGTGATGGGGATTTAGATGCATACCACTCAATTCTTTGTCTTAACATTATAATTTAGGGATGTAAATACATTCATGAATTGCAATGGAGTGTTCCACTTTAAATAACTAATAATAGTGATATTTCTAGTGTCATAATTAAAGTTTGATTATTATATAAATAAATACTAAAATTTATGTTCTAGATATGTAAATACATAACAATTTAAAACGGGACATTTACATGCATGTCACAAAGTTTTTGCGTATATATACACTAATATTTAAAGTTTGATTTTAATATTTATAACACTCATAACTTTGATTTTAACATTTATGACACTGATATCAGACCCAATATGTAGACAAACTTGTTCTTACATAGATGATGAAAATAATATATATTTAAAATTATGTTATTGTATTTTTTTTAATTAAGGAGGAAAAACATGACAACAATTTTCAGTTATAAGCACATGTTAAATGAGAAAGAAAAATATTACACCGTATGTGTAGACAATCAATCACATTAGAGTGCGCTGCATACTCATGATAGGGTAGACGGTGTGCTCCGCAGTGACTGATTGTTATTCTGTAGTTTGTTGAAGATACCAGAATTCAAACTGCCTGAAGCTAAGAGATCAGAGGAGGTTGGCATGAAAGATCAGCCCAACTATCGTGCCTACCACAGGATGTTTGGACACAAAATCGACTTCACGACATGGGATAGTCATCAAAGAATACTTGAAAATGCTTGAAAAGGGTTTGATTCTCTTATGCAATTATATGGACATAAGAATTTGCGCCCATCATTTAAGAATATGAACAAACAAATTTTATTTTTATTTCCTCATTTATATTTTGATTTTAGGTTTAATTTTTGCATGATAGAAGCAAGAGAGGCTTGCAAGTGGGTAACATGTGCGAAATAAATGAGGTGATCTCATTTATTTATTTACTTATTTACCATGCTAATATTACCGAGATGAAGCCATTCATAAAGGATCAACTTACTTGCTGGCTCCTACCGCACAATAATTTTGAAAAAAATTATAAAGTAATATAATTTTTTTATTATTTTTTTTAAATATTTTAATAGCCAAGAAAAAATTATAGCGTTCACAATAATTAAAAAACAAAATTATCACAACATCTGATCAACTATTTTTTATAAGGAAGATTTACATACAAACCGCTCAACTCTTATATATTTACATATCTAAGACTTAAATTTTAATTTTTACATATATTTTATTTTACTTGTGTATTTCAATTTTTAAAAATTAAGGGAAAAAAGTTTAATTTGCATGTGCTGCCAAAAATGTTATTGGTGTATCTGTCAAAAAAAGCAAATTTTAGGTGTTATGTGAATTGGGTGCATGGTATAAATGTAATTGCAGTTTTGTCTGAGCAGGCCGGGAAGGTGGAAAGCTGGAAAACAAGTGGTTGATGTGAAATGAATTTGGTTAGAAGAGTTGTCAGAATTTATTGGGCTGCAATTTCTGAGCAAAAATCGGAGGAAGCCATAAATATTTAAATCCAGAGAATAGAGACTGGGAACTAAGCGGAAAAAATTGGATATTTAAATCCAGAGAATAGAGACTGGGAACTAAGATTTCACCTACGGCAGCAGTCTTTACCCGTTCGGAATGCTCGGTAAATCATAGAAATAATGGAAGACTTGCATGCATGCCCCTCATTTCTCATATATTTACATGTATATAACTTCAGTTTTTACATGTTTTTCACTTTGCAAAAAGAAATGTTCATGGGATGAGTTTGAGCGAGCTTAGATTTGGCTAATGTTCTTGTTTTCAAGAGTAATTATGTTCGAAATTGCTAGTGAAAACGTGTTTTTGTCCGCTCATTTATATGTTCTTGTTTTTATATGATTCCTATTTGGCTTGAAATTTATTGTTTAAATTAATGAGAAAAATAGATGTAGGTTATTGGATTTGAATTTACACCATTTTTATGTAATAAAAGATGCAAAATCACATGACTATTCAAGCTATGATGATTTAAAATTAGATATAAATATGTAATACATTATTATATAAACATATAATATATTATTATATAAGTAGTATATATAATTTTCTTATTTCGTTCTTGAAAAGATATGAGAGAACTTGATTTTATTGATGAAAAGAGGAGTATAAATACCCATTACTGAACTTACTGGTAATGAAAATAATAAAAACAGAATACAGTAGAAAAGGAAATGAATAATAACAAAATATAATAGGCAGCTAATCTCTCTAATTTAAAGAGAGAAATAAATAGAAATTCTCAATATCTCTCATATAATTTACAACCCTCTAAATATAGAGTTATAACAAATATAGAATATAATTATTAGTATTTTTGAGATCTTTCAACACTCCCCTCAAGTTGGATTGTAAATATTGTACATGTCTAACTTGATATATAATTCTTTAAAGTTGATTCTTGGGAGAGGCTTAGTGAGGATATCTGTTGTTTGATGTCGGGAAGGAATGTATGCAAGTTCGACGACTCCTCTCTCAATATTTTCATAGATGAAGTGTCGATCGATCTCGATGTGTTTCGTTCTGTCATGGTGTACTGGATTCTTTGTAATGTTGATGGTTGTTTAGTTGTCGCATTGTAGTTTGACAGTTTTTTCAGTTGCATCCCGAGTTCGCTGAGTATTCTTCGAATCCACATTCTTTCGCAGATCCCGAGTGCAAGAGCTCTGAATTCAGCTTCAGCGCTGCTTCTTGATACCACAGACTGTTTTTTGCTTCTCCAAGTGACTAGGTTTCTCCAGATATAAGTGCATAAGCCGGAAGTCAATCGTCGGTCTGAGACATCCCCTGCCCAATCTACGTCTAAATACACTTCTATACTTTAATCCTTATTCCTTCGAAATAGTAGCCATTTGCCTGAAGTCATCTTGAGGTATCTCAAGATTCTGTAGACTGCATTCATGTGTTCTTCCGTAGGGTTGTTCATCAATTGGCTAACAACACTAACAGAAAAATCAATGTCGGGTCATGTGTGTGAGAAATAGAAGAGTCGCCCCACGAGTCGCTGATATCTCCCCCTATCCACATGTGCGCTATTTTTCTCAGTGCCGATCTTCTTGTATGGATCCATTGGAGTATCGACGGGTTTGCAACCGAGCATACATGTTTCCTTCAACAAGTCCAATGTATATTTTCGTAGTGACACAAATATTCATCGTTTTGATCGAGCTAGTTCCATGCCGAGAAAGAATTTTGGGTTTCCGAGGTCTTTGATTTCGAATTCCTGAGTGAGAAGCTTTGTCAGATTTGTGAGTTCTTCTTCGTGATTTCCAGTGATGATGATATCTTTGACGTATATGATTAAAATTGCAATCTTCTTTTCGGGAGAAGTTTTCACAAAGAGAGTGTGATCTGCCTGACACTGAGTATACCTGTGTTTTGTCACTGATTTTGCAAATCTATTGAACCATGCTTGGGGAGATTTTTTTAGGTCGTACAATGATTTTTGTAGTTTGCAGAGTTTGTTGCTTAGAAAGGATGCTTCTAGTCCGGGAGATGCTTCCATGTAAACTTCTTCTTCCAAATCGTCATTTAAGAAAACATTTTTCACGTCGAGTTGATGTAACTGTCATTCTTCATTTGCCATAAGTAAGAGAAGGATTATGATAGTGTTAATTTTTTGCCACAGAGGCAAAGATTTCTTGGTAATCAATACCGTAGGATTGTGAAAAACATTTTGCTACGAGACGTGTTTTTAATCTCTCAATTGTACCATATGTCTTGTATTTGACTTTAAAGATTCATTTGCAGCTGATTGTTTTCTTTCCCTTTGGCAGGTCTGAAACAGTCTATGTACCATTCTTTTGTAGGGCTCTTACCTCCTCATTGATGACCACTTTCCACCCCGAGTGTTTGAGAGCTTCATCGATGGTGTTTAGGACTTGTGTATTGTCGAATGTAATGACATAGGCTCAGTAAGCTGAAGATAGTCTTTCTTATGACATAAAGTTGGAGATCAGATGCATCGTGTGTTCATATCTGAGTGGAGATCATATGGACCTAACACCTTTCCTTAAAGCAATTGGAATGTCGGAGTCATCAATCATAGGTATAGTAGATACATGTTCAAGTGTGTTCGTACCTGAGTGGATTTCTGTAGGAGTTTGATCCGGTTCTGACTTTTGGATTGATGTTGGATGTGTTGGGTGATCTATGTACGAGTTGGACACTTGAGGACTAGATGGAGACTGATTGTTAGGTATATT